ATTTGAACCGCTGAACTGCTGATCTAGCAGTAGCCTGCAGTGCTGCATTTAACCACTGCGCCACCTCGGCTCTCAGGACCAAGAAACACCAAAATGTATATAGTTTAGTTGAGACAGTCAGGTTCTCAGAGAATGTCTTTAATGATGCAAGCACAATTGCTTTAGTATGGCAAGATTTTTGTCTATGGATGAGGAACAATAAAGGGAATTGCTCAGAGGTTGTGTGTCTTTCTTGGGGTTTTTTTTTTTTTGAGTGGTGGTGACAATAATAAGAATATAAGTGTACCATCAAATGTGTTGATGGTCATCTGTGAATCATTAGCCAGTAGGACATCTATAATGTAAGATGAATCCTAAAGGACACCATTGGCCATATAAGGACAACTGAGGAAGCCACAGAAAGCTCTTAAAAGCTTCCTGTTCGGTCTGGATGGACCTTATCTTTTATTGAGTTGTCCCCATGAACATATTATTGACATAGCTTTCACTGCTATGACTGTGCATCCATCACAGTGAGGTTTCCAAGAACTTGTCAACCAGCTACTGGATCAAGATTACACGGTGGTGAATTAGATTAAACTGAGATGTTTAATAATCTGGCTGGAGTCCTTTTGAGTCATTGTCCATCTTTCCATAAATGGTATTGAATGTCCCACAAGTACATTTTGAATCAATTACCAACAGTAGGACTGGTGGTATGATGGTGCTTCTGAATTACACTCAAGACTCTTTAGAAGAACATCAAAAGCTTTTGAAAAGTTCAATAGAATCGCTAAGATTCTATAGTTTGGTTTAGTGGTTGAAACCCAAAGTCACCCAGGCAGCTTTTTACGCCTGTGGCGGAACTAGAACTCACAGTCTCTCCTGGTTTTTAGGCCAGCACTTAAATCACGGAACCAAACTCTCATTTCAGGTCACATCTTCAGCATGTCATGTGGAGATATGCCAAGGTGAAGCCTTAAAGGTCTTGCCAAGAATTCCCCTGCACCTTTAAGTTGTACACATGAGATAATACTCAGTGTATCAGGCAAGAAGTTCTCCAAGTTACATCAGTTGGACTTAGAACCAAATGATTATCCCTGTTGGTATGGATGTGTTGCAAGCAATTCCATCTACAGAACATCATCCCTATCGAGCACAATAAATGATTCAAATGCTCTCTATTTTTCTTCACATGGACCGTGGTGTGAAAAAGCTCATCCAGATGACTCTATTATGGCTTGCTACCTTCTTAACCATTGTTCTAGTGTTCAAATGGACTCTGAATTGTATTCCAAATATTTGCCCAGCTAATTATGGTGACCGGTTGACAAAGGGAGATGGTTTTTAGTGACAATGCAGACATCTGGTTGTCTAACCTGGTCTAGGAGGCAGAAGAGTGAAAGCTAACCTCCCAAGATGCCTTCAAAAACACAACATTGACTATGTTGACCAAAATGGCCTACTATTCTCCTTTTTTGCAAGTGCATGAGCTAATAGTTGCATACCCAAGGTAGCTTCCATTAATATACCAGGTCTAGATAGAAAGGTAGCCTTCCACTTACCACAGTCCATTTAATGACCATTCAAAATTACCATGGCACTGAAAAAAGTGACACGGCCATTTTCCCCCTGCTTACAATTTTTGTAGCATCCCCATGGTCGTGTGATCAATATTCAGATATTTGGCAACTGGCTCATATTTATGACAGTTGCGATGCCCCCTTGGGGTCACGTGATCCACTTTTGCGACCTCCTGACAAGCGAAGTCAATGGGGAGGCCATATTCACTTAACAGCCATGTTACTAACTCAACAACTGCAGTGATTCACTTAATAGCGATGGCAAGAAAAGTTGCAAAATGGAGCAAAACTCACTTAACAAACATCTGACTTAGCAACAGAAATTCTTGGCTCAGTTGTGGTCAAGGATCCTACCTGTATTAGACCATTTCTATGAGAGTTTCTTTTAGGACTGAGGGAGAGAAAAAAAACACCCCAAATCATGATTTTAAAAAGCATCTTCCTGCATGAGTTATGGGTTTCTCCATTGGGTTTGCCAGCAATGCGAAGGCATCTGTATTTCTCTGGAGTAATTACGCCAAAGCTTTTGGTACAACCAGCACATTGTTCTAATTAGCAGTGGAAAACTCTTAATTTCTCAAGGACAGGCTTAATTCAGGGTGTGCTGCCTTCTTACTCACTCCATTTCTATTAAAACTGTTTTGGCAAACTTCTGGGTTACATCTCAAAAGTATTCTGTTGTATGGCTCCCCCCCCCGCCCCCAATCCCCTTTGTTTTTATGATGGTATCAGAGGAGAATGAACTAACAGCGATAAGACATTAGGTGAGAAAAATTCATCTCTAGGCTAATGCAACATGTGTGTGTGAGTGTGTGTGTGTGGAAAGGGGCGTGTGTCTGCACACACAGGTGTTTGAATGACTCTGAAACAGGCGGCTAATTAATTGTGGGAGACTATAAAAGTACTGCGAGGGGCGTTTTTTTCTCTTCACTTTCGGGCGCTTGGTGAAACTCTTCCAGCAGGTAAACACTTTGCAATGATAGAAAACTTTTATAACTTGTGCCGCATTTTTTCTTTAGGGAGTTATGCTGGCCTCTTCATGATATTTCTTTGAGAAAATAGTTTCGAAGTGATTTCATGAACTGACTTCCATGGGGTTGTGTTTTTTTTTTGCCTTTTATCAACTTCAGTTCTCATTTTTACAATTGTTCCCTGTTTTCTTAGTTTCTCGTTTTTGTAGATGGGGGGGGGGTTGTTCTTTTTTTAAAAGCGTTTTTTAGAACAATATTCGTATTCCTCTTGCTCTTTATTGTCTTCAAATGTATTTTAAAATTCTGCCTAATATACAGTCTCTGTAACCACTTTCTGTGATAAATTTTACTTGTTACTTTTAAGAATATTTGAATTTTTCCAGACTTTTCTCATATTTTGCTTTGTCAACAACTGAGAGGCAAAATTTGGATTATTGCACATTCTGAGGAATGTTTTTTATTCACTCATTTGTTGATGCATTCCAGTACAAGTAAAACAGATTCATTTCTCCTGTGTATTTGCCGGAGTCAGTCCGTTTGTTTTTTCAGTGAGCTTTCTGGTAATTTAAGGAAGCGGCTTTCTTAAATTATTTAAACTGAGTTAACCTTACTTTCCAATCCAGGTTAATCTCCTTTTGTGTAGATATTTTATCAAAAATGCAATTTATAGGTCTAATATGGAGCTGAATTGTTTTACCGCTTGCTCTTCGCTACAGATTCCACTGTTTTTGAAGCGCTTTAAATTACAAGCCGCTCTTAGCTATTGCGGTATTTCTCAAAGTTCGGCGGCTTTAAAACACGTGGACCGCAACTCCCTAATTTAAAGAGCTTATTCAAACTAGCTAAACCAGCATTTCCCACGTTCGGCGACTTTAAGACGAGAGAAATTCGGCGCTCTGAATTCCACAGCGGAGGAATTTAAACCCGCACGTTTCAAAATTGCCGGGCTCGGGGGAAGGGGAAAAAAAACACGCCGCGTTAGCTTTGCGCTTGGAGTTGCGCGCGTAATTTAAAGAGGCTTATTCAGACGAGTTAAAACAGCGCTTCTCAACCGCGTCAACTTTTGAGTGGGCTTCATTTCCCGCAATTCTACAGCCATGGAATTGAAGTCCACTCACTTTTTTTCCCCCCCGAGGTTGAAAAACGCTGCTTTTGCGGCTATGCTAAAAACTGCGTGCAATTTAAAGTGCTTGGTTCAGACAACCGGTTAAAGCAGCGGTTCTCAATTTTGAAGGACTTACAATTTCATAGGTACGGAATTGAATTCCACCCACTTTACTGCCTTGCTCCCTTGCTCTCGCTCCCTTTCTCTTACTTGCTGCTTTATTATTGCTGATTTTTGTTTAAATTTTAATTTCAGGCTCTCACTATAAGAACCTACATCGAAACTCAACAATGGCTGGGTTTGGAGATGTTTTGAAGATAATCGGGGAGTTTGGGGCGTTTCAGAAATGTTTGATATTTCTGCTTTGCATCCCGAGTTTCTTAACTCCTTTTCATATGTTTGGCCAAATCTTCATTAGTATTGAGGTGCCTCACTATTGCAATTCGAGTTGGATCCGAGCAATTAGCCCCAACCTAACTTTTCAACAGGAGCTGAATCTGACCATTCCTAAGAGAACTGACGGTTCTTTTGAGCAATGTTCCAGATTCACTCCAGTAGATCTGGATATCGAATCGATCGCAAACTATGGCTTCAATTCAACTCAGGGCTGTGAAGAGGGATGGGTGTATCCAACGATGGACGTCCCAACACTGGTTACCGAGGTAAGGTGCATTCTTTTTAAGCGCAAAATGATTCGGCTTTGAAATCTTGAGAATTGCATCACCCCCTTCGAAGCAATTGGTGGGAATTGGTGCAGCTTTCCTGTTATCCTAGAAGGGTGGTTGGGGGGAATTCAGGAAGTTTAACTAAAACGGAATTTGTTATCTAACCCCCCCCCCTCTTTTTTTTTTTTTAGTTTGATCTGGTCTGTGACCAAAGTTACTTAAATGACATCTCCCAATCCATTTTCATGGGCGGCCTGCTGATTGGATCGCTGATCTTCGGCTCACTGAGTGACAGGTAAAGTAAGATATCTCACGCACACACATACTGTTGTTGGAGGAGGGAGGGTGGGATGGTTCAGCAGTTTATGCGAGTCATCAAAAAGGGGGTTCACAGCGGCCCCAAAAGTTGAAGATGGCTTCTGTGCCTGCAATCCATGTCCTGTCTCTTTTTACACATGTTTGCCCTTCTGTTCCCCACCTAGTCCTTCAGCTTTTTTCAAACGTACACCCATCGCTACTTTAATGAGTCCCTTGTGCTTTGTTGCTGCTTGTTCTCTTTCCTTCAATTTTTCCAGCATGACGGAGACCTGCATCTCTGCATAATGTGCCCCACATTTGATCATCAAGATTGTGGTTACCACACACATGGGAGCAAGGCACTGTCTGTGTATTGAGGACAATGTTTTGATCCTTTGCGTATGATTGCCATCTTGACTTCTTTCGAACCTCTTCTTGAAGATGCTCCGGCCCAGCTTCATTTGTTATATCTCCAGGAAAAACAGCAGATACATATTTTTTTTTTTAAAAAAAAATGTGTATTTTCGTTCTGTTAACACATGGCATTGTTTTTCTCCAGGGTTGGAAGTCAAATATCCATACTGATTGCCTTGTTCATAATGGGATTCTTCGGCACCATCGCAAGTCTGGCACCACATTTCTATGTTTACGTTGCCCTGAGATTCATCGTGGGAACCGCTCTGGCTGGGATCAGCATCAGCGTTACAACTTTGAGTAAGTCCTAGAAGCCCCAAACTTCAGCCCTTAAGAGATCTCGCAGCTTTTGCTTTCCAAACAAATGTATTGATTTTTTTTATAAAAAAAAAGATTTCGGTGAGTTCTCTGTATATTTCTTAGGACCTGGAGAAAGTGTGAAGCATCATAATGTAGAGATGCTCAGTGGCAAGACATTTATTGCAGGCTGTAAGACGAGCCATTTATTCAACGGTCCAGGGATGGGAAAGGATTTCTGAATGGAAAGTGAAGTGGATGGAAAGATTTCTTTGTGAATGGAGACTTGAGAGTTTTTTCCAATTCTCTGTAGGTTCGGAGTGGGTCGGCCCGTCTTACCGTCCGCAGGCCCTGATCATCATCCATTGTGCCAATGCGCTGGGTCAGATGGCTCTAGCCTGTGTGGCCTACTTTGTCAGTGACTGGCGGCTGTTCCAGATAACGACCTCGGCTCCTGCTTTCCTCATCTTTTTCTACGCTTGGTAAGTCTTCTGCATTTATGCTAGAAGGAAGTGGGCATCTTCAGCTTTTTGTGGGCATCCAAAACCTGATCAGGTTTCAAAAACTTATGTTTTTGATTCAGGTCAGTTTGATTTTTTTTTTTTGCTAATGCACTTAGTTGCTCTCAATTTTGGCAATTTAAAAGACCTGGACTTCAACTCCCAGAATTCCCCAGCCAACATGTGTGTCTGTGTGAATGAGTGTTGAAGTCCAGGCTTCTTAAAATTAAGAAACAGTGGCCTGCAAGGAGGTACCCAGCTGTTCTTGCCATTCAAATTCTCAATTTGAACTCTATTCAGTTCCTCACCTTCCCAACTCCATTTCCACTTCTGATTTATTTTTATTTTTTTAATCTGTTGCAGGGTACTTCCACGCTCTGCCCGGTGGCTGATAACCAAAAAGAGAATGAACGAAGCAAAAGACGTCATTCTAAGAGCGGCTAACATCAACCAACGAATCTTGTCTATGGATGTCTTTGATCAGGTACCAAACCGCGCAATTACTTTAATGCTCTTTTCGGGGAACATTTTAGAATAGAACACTTTAAAGGAGGAGATCAAAATTGGCTTTAATACTCCTTTCCAATGCTAAAACTTCTAGTTCTTTGGTCCTTTTACTCTCTGAAGGGGGTCTTTTGGGCAAAACGCCTGGCGTTTGTCCCCCCTGCTTTTTATATAGTCATAACTATATAAACTATTTGCCCAGCTTTACAAAAACAAGGCTCAAAAGCTGTATTTTTATCCAAAAAGTGCACAAATGTTCCTCCACTTCTAGCCATTCGTGTACTCTGAAAATTACTCTGAAAAAAGTGTCTTACTACTTGCGCTTAGGACTTGCCACAGCATCCTAAATAAAATTTGGGAGCTTGGCAAGCAGCCAAGCATGTATTAACAAAAGACAGTTAACCATGAAATTTGACTAAATGTTCTTCTGCCTTCCATTTTGTGCTCATTCTAGTTGGCTCCGGAAAACACCGAGAGACGAAGAAGCTTCCTGGACCTTTTCAAGGAAACTCACCTGAGGAACGTAACTTTGATTATGGCTTGGATGTGGTAAGTTGTCCTTTAAAAGGGCATTTTTTAAAAAGCCCCACAAATCAGATGCATTTTCAACGTAATGGGCATGTGACTGATGCAACTTCTCAGAAGGAACTTCATCTTCTGGTTCTACCCTCAGGTTTGTGGACAGCTTGGTGTATTACGAAGTGAGTCTTCACGTCGGGGACTTTGGCCTGAACATCTACTTGACCCAACTCATCTTTGGAGCCGTGGAAATCCCCTCTCGCATCCTCTCCATTTTCCTGCTTCAATGGATCGGAAGGAAGAAGTGTCAGTCCTCTTGGCTCATCCTGGGAGGGATCATGTGTGTCATCATCTGTGTGATCCCCAAAGGTACCTGAGATATTTTTTGGGGTGGGGCAAAAAAATAGCAAGGTGTCCAAAAGATGGTGGGGGATTTAATTTTAGCAGGATTGGTTGTTTTAGGGGGCCATAAAAGTTGTTTTTTTACTCTTAGCGGTCACATCAATGTTTTTTTTCCCCTCCAGCAAGATCTACTTCCAACCTTGGTCCTTAAGTCTTGCCGAGATATGCTCCTTTTTACCACATTTTCTCTTTCCTTCCGCCTTTTTCAGCATTAGAGCCTTTTTCAAGGAAAAGTGCAGGCCCTTGACTCAAACCCTTAATTTATCTTTTCCAATTTTGTGTTTTTTCCCCTCGGTGGCATCTCATGGGGGGGGACTGGACCTTTCTGATTAGTGCAAGAATTCAGCAAGTGACTAAACCTTTCTCCTGAAAGGGTCACAGAAGCCAGCCTAAACCCACTCATGGATTTGTGTGAACCTAGGCCCCAGGATTGAAGCTTTCAGGTATTTTGTAACTCCTCTTCATTGGGTTTTTTCTCCCCTCCAGAATTCCCTCTGATTGTGACTGTGCTAGCTGTGATTGGAAAATCTGCCATGGCTGCTTCCTTCTCTACTACTTATTTGTTTTCTGCTGAGTTATTTCCCACTGTTGTCAGGTAAAGAAATTATCTATGTACCTGTATTGTTTATTTACTTACTGACTTGATTTATAAAGGCATCCAGTTCAGCATTGTGACTCTGGGCAGCACCAAACAACAAAATAACCAAGAAGTGTGACCTCCATAAGTTTAAAATAAATGCAATATTATAATTTAATTGTTAGCAGTGTTTTTTCAAACTTGGCAACTTTTAAGATATGTGGTCTTCAGCTTCCAGGATTCCCAGAAGAGAAGTTCATATTTGATTTCTCGTTTATTTTAGTCTGAAAACTGTTTAGGTTGGGTGAGTGGCTCAATTTCTTTTATTCCATTTCTTCCACCAGACAATTCGGCCTTGGCTTGTGTTCGATGTCTGCTCGTGTGGCGGGCATCCTTGCCCCACTGCTTGGCATGTTGGCCAGATACCACCTTGCTATTCCTATGTTCATCTGTGGGAGTGCCTCGCTGGTTGCAGGGATCCTGTGCTGTTTCCTTCCGGAGACACGCAACAAAGATCTTCAGGATGTGCCGCCGGAGCCTGAAGGCCCACCAAGCAGGGAGTGAGTTTATTAAATTTATTTGTTTCTTGAATTTATAGGACTGCCAAACACTCGACCTCCATGGGTGGCTCACCATATTAATGTGGCTATGGGTGCCCCAAAGGTGCTTTTTCAAGAAGCAATAAGACTTTGTTTTTTTCTTGAAAACATCTTGCTTCTGATCCAAGAAGCTGCTGCTCCTTCTCCCTTCCTTCCTTCCTTCCTTCCTTCCTTCCTTCCTTCCTTCCTTCCTTCCTTCCTTCCTTCCTCCCTCCCT